ATCAAACAATGTAAAAGTGGGAAGTGGAAAATGTTTTCCATTTTCTATGAAAAAGTTTGGGGAATCAAACACACCCTAAATATCAAATCTTAGAATTTTTTTTCCGCCCAAAGATTGGAATTTTTTAGAAGTTACAATTTAATATTTTTTTTCCAATTATGAGGTGGTATTTTAATTTTATTTAGAGAAGTTTGAAACAAGGGAACGAAGAACCTAAACTATTTGTAATTGAATTTTGTTGGGAGAACCTAAAATTGCCTATCAAGTTACTATATTTGGTTAGTAATCTGAAAAAACATATAAAGATTCCATTAGTAGTACAGATCATAAGTTAGGTATGGTCCCTTGGATATGCATTTACATACATTAGGAGGCCGTTTTCTATTTCCTAAAATAGGGGTTTGCTTAAATTATTATTATTATTATTTATTTATTATTATTATTTTTTTAAAGAATGCCACAGGCTCCAGTTGACCCGTAGGGCTAAATTTGTCTAAGAAATTTGTCAACTAGCATTTTAGTCCCCCCCGTTTCACAATCATTATTTGAAACTTTTTTTTTTCACACACTCATTTTCAACAATACATTCACATAAGGAAATATTCTGCATGTAAATTCAAATTCTTTTATTACTTTTCCACACATTTTCCTAAAAATCACTATTCAAAACATTATTTTTCGAAAACAAGGGTGGTCAAACATGGGCTTAATTGAAGTATTTCAGATAGAAATTATTTGCAATTCGATGATTTTATTTAAATTTTTAATTTCAGATTGTTCTTATACCGTGTCCATCTTGCCCTACTAAGAGCCCATTTGTTGTAGATTTTTTGGGAATAAATTTTGTAAAAAATATTTTTTTTTGGAGAATATAAAGTTAAAAAATAAGAAAAAATTATAAGTCCACATAAAAAATTATCATATTAAGAAAACGTGTGATTAAAGTTTGAAAAAAAAAAAGCCAAATTTATAGAATCTCTATCGAACATAAACAAAATATAAAAAGAAACTTAGACGAGTGTTTGTGATTCAAAATGGAAAAAAGAGATAAAGAAACACCTTGTAAATAAGTTTAATAATTTACTCATAAGCAAGTTTATTCATCAATACTTTTCATAGAAGTTTGCTCATTAATGAACAAGTAAGTTTGAAGATAAATAAATAAATCCATTAATTGATCAAATCTGAAAATGCAACTTGTAAGTAAATTAGGCTTAAAAGCCGAACCAAACATGCCAGTTTGTGGGCTTTTACTGTGTGTTAGGGGAGGGGGTTGGGTCCGTCCATTCATAGAAGTAGACGGCCTCGTTTTTCTTCAAAATTCTCCACTTTATCGCTCCAGAGTCTCATCGCAATCAAAATCGTCCAATCAGTAATACTAAACTTCTTCACTCTTCACGCAGATCTACTTCATCCTGCTCTCGTTATCTTCAAGGTTACTACTATTATTTCTCTTTTATACGTTCATCTTTTTTATGGGCATGTTGATGATAGAATATTTAGGTTATGATTTTGCTGAAAATTATTATTTGTGGTTGTATTAATTGACGGACTCTTTTTTGAATTTTTGGTTCTTCATATTTTGGAGGAGGGGATTTTGAGGGATGGAGGAATATATGGATGATTGAATTGATATAAGATAGCATGTGAGGTTTGTAGCTCAAAGTGTTTTTAACCTTAATGATTAAATCCCAATTTTGTACTCAAATCTGTTTTTTAGGTTTAAATTGATTGTTACTGTATGTTGTTGGGTGGGTGGAGGATTACTTTACTGCCTCCTTCTGGTGGTTTGCTTGTAGCTCTTAAGTTTGAAAACACAATGCAATGATCTAATGAGTTGCAGACACTTTGCATATAGAGTTTTGATTCTGTTATTACAGTAAAAGAAACCTCATGATATTTTCCTAACTTTGGCGAAACATATTTAGTTGCAGTGCCTGATCAGTGTTGGTTAGTTTCTCTATAGACTGAACCGCCAACGTCTTTATCATTTTTGTTATAAATTTGGCAGGAAACTTTTGATATTTCCAGTTGAAATAAACCTCAGCACTGTCCAATCATTTTCCATCACAATCCAGTTTCGGAAAACCCCAAAATAACACTGTTAGGCGATGATTAAATTCCAAACTCTAAATAAGTATCGCTGTACATCCTGTGAGGATCTCTTAAAAATGATATAATAAGTAATTTGGATTAGAATTTATCTTATAGTGCATTTTCTCTTGATTTTTGATGCACGTGACTTCACTGAAGAAAGAATAACAGAGGATTTTTATGCTTTTTTCTCTGCCTCCAATTTAAAATCCCCAAATATAAGTTATCCAAGACACAAACATAGATTAGAATCCCTTTGCCTTGGTTTCTTTGGTTCGCATTTGGTGTCAGTGACCGGGGTCTTCATTGTAAAATTCCCAAATGTAAGTCATCAAAGACTCAAACATAGATTTTAATCACTTCGCCTCGGGTCCATTTGGTGCTCTTTTGGTGTCAATGAGTGGGGTCTTTAGTGAAGTAAAACAAAGCTCAAAGCAGTTAAAAAAAAACTCTTTATTAAGTTCTTGTACAATTGTGCTCATCCACTAATCTTTTACTTTGATACTGAATTCCATTTTATTTAAGTTCTTGTGTTGATGAAATACACGCATAAAACTTTTATACTAAAAATTAATTTGGTGCAATTTTAATTTTGCTGTTTGCGTGTAAATTTTCTATTTCAGATGTAATATGCATTTTTCTACTATCAAGCGTGCAGCTCAGTTTCACTTTGGATCCTCAGTGCAGCTGTACATTTTATAACTCTAAACCTAAATGATAAACATTTGTGCATGCAACTAAAAGAGAGCTCTTCGTCAAAGTCACATTTTTTCACTTCTTTCTTGTTTTGTAACTCAAACTCTCAAAGAGTACCTCTCATCAGAAAGTCCAAAATTCCTCTTTGGCTTCTCTATGTACTAAATCCCAAATTCTATGAGGCCATTGAAGTGAATTATACTTGCAGTTGATGATTTGAAGACTGCAGAAAGCATTTGGGAGGATTTCTGTGTAAATGCAAATAAATTTGAATATGCGTACTCTTTTTGAGTTACAAAACAAGTAAGAAGTGAAAAATATGACTTTGACGAAGGGCACTCTTTTAGTTGGATGCACGGATGTTTATCATTTAGGTTTAGAGTTATGAAATGTGCTGCTGCACTGAGGACCCAAAGAGACAGTGAGCTGCACACTTGATAGTAGAAAAATGCATATTACATCTGAAATAGAAAATTTACACGCACACAGTAAAATTACAATTGCACCAAATTAATTTTTTGTATAAAAGATTTAGGCATGTATTTCATCAACTCAAGATCTTTCTTGTTTTGTAACTTAAAGAGTATGCATATTCAAATTTATTTGCATTTACACTGAAATCCTCCCAAATGCTTTCTGCAGTCTTCAAAACATCAACTGCAATTATAATTCACTTCAATGGCCTCATAGAAATTGGGATTTAGTACATAGAGAAGCCAAAAAGGAATTTTGGACTTTCTGATGAGAGGAGAGGAGAAAAAAATTGCAAAACTAGGTTAGGTTTATGGAGGTTGTGAAAATTTTACAGAGATAGTGAAAGGGCCTAGGAAAGTCAGTGTGGAGAGAAAAAGGAGTGGAAGACAAGTAGGACAGGAGTGATAGGCTACAACTGCTTATTGGATGCTCCTATTTCCTGTTTAGATTGAGGATAAATACTTTTTGAGATATCTATATTGCTTTAGGAACCTATAACCCTTTACAGATATTGGTGGTTGTTGGTCAACCTGTTATTGGTTTTGCAAGAACTGAAGATGGGTGCTCTTCTCCGTTTGAATGAATTATTGACTTTATTTGGTGGTACTCAACTAGATATGAGTTTTATTTTTGTAGGTGAGGAAATTTGGGGAATATCACCTTGTGTTCTAAATATGTTGGTTTCTTTTTCCTCCTGTTGTGCATAGTATCTAGTACTAGAGTGTCACCCTAATTTGTTTTGATGATTGTGACATGATCGGGTTGTACATTTTCAAATTAGAGCCAATCTATCAGAGGTTATCTTCTTATTTATGTGTCTATGACTAAAAGTGGAGGACCTTATATGATAGCTCTCCTGTACAGACCCCCCTGAAACGTTATTGAAAAGTTTCAAGCAAAGCGTTTTGACCAAAAACTGATGATTTTGGGTTTTTCCTTTTTTCTATTTATTAAAAAATGGAAAACAATGAAAACACAAAAACCTTGCAAAAGGTGTATTTTGTTTGTGGATGCTGGGTTAGACAGCAAAATATGTTGCAGAGCACAGAACTGTCGGTGAATATTTAGAAAACCGATCTCAACATGTTGTTTTCTTGTTCTCTTTTAAAGCAGCTGTTTACAGCATTGGCTCTTCATTTAATGCTTTCAATCGACGGCTTGGTGTGGATCAAGAAGTAATGGAGTCTTTTGGCGAGGCAGATGTTTTCTTTCTATGATACCAATTGATTGATACTGGTCAAATCAATTTTCTTTGGTTGCTGCTGCTAAGGATCTTATATGGATAGAATGAATCACTTATTAAATGCATCTGATTCTTTGTGCTTTAGGATACATAAAATGAGGTGTTTATGTGTGCTCCTATTGTATTTGTTTCTATATTTTTTACCATATTGAAGCTTAAATTTATTGGACCTGCATTTGCTATGAATCTATTTTTTTTGCTTTACATGTGATTTCCTGTTTGTATTATGCCTTTGGGTTTGCTTATGATCAATTGTTTTTTGTTCAGTTTGTGACTTACTAATTAGCTTTTCAAATCTTGTTCTTGGTTGCTGAATACAGTTTTGTCATTTAATAATTTGACTGACTGTTCCGTCAAATTTTCCTTTCAGAGAATTGAGAATTAGAAAGTAAAGGCTCCAGCACTTTCTGGAAAAGCTTTTTGACAAAAAAGAAGGGAAGCTGCAACTGGGTGAAGGAAAAAAATTCTGCATGACCTTTTGAAATTTTCTGCAATGTCGGGGTTATTTAATGTACTGTTCCCTCTAATGTACAACGCTACATGTGTATATACTGACATTGGATAATAGTCTTGTGGTTTCTACATTCTTTTGGTTCTTTTCTTCTAAGTAATATTGTTGTTATCTGCGGTTCTCATATTAGGATTAAATATGCTATTTCATTTTTCCTATACCACATTTTCATTAATATGATTTACAATGGCATCCATTTAAATGTAATTTTTATTGTTGCTTATATAATATAATCATGAGTTTTTTGGGTCTACATATTGATTTTTTCAATGCTGTGTTCATGTCATTTATAAGGATATTAGTGTCAGATAATGATTAGACTCTATTTTAACAGATTCCTAGGTCATGGCTTCAAACTTATTAATCTGGTTTCTTGGAGAGATCTAAAATACGAAAAGCACAGAAAGGTTCTGTCAAATTGAAAAACGTAAAATGTTCTGATCTTGCTAACTTATGCCTCCAAATATCTGGATGGTTGTGTTGCATGCCATCCATGACATCAAACAGATTGGGATGAGAAGCATTTCACGTCATGTATACCCTTGGGATTTTTTTACAATTTTTGCAGAAAGGAAGTTCTTGTACTGATTTCAGTCTTTTAGCTAAAGACTGTGCTTCAGTGCTTGAATTTGTGAATTATCACGATTTGCACGATGGGTTGATTAGATTCCTTCAATTGTCTTCTGAAAAGTACAGAAAATTTCGAGTTTGAATAATAATGAGTCTTGGGTTTTTCTGGCAATGTGCTAAGCTAAGATAGTGTTGGTAGTGAGACTGGTATTGATTCATCTAATTTAGTTTATTTGGAGGTGACAACACTCTAGCAAGTTCAGATAATACCTTTAAGCTTGTTATTTTAACGATTAGCTTAACTTCTAATCATATGGAGTTGCTCATTGCATGGAGTGGTTGTATTTGGTAACAGAAGTTGTTGGGCATGTTGCCTAATTGCCTTACCCAACAAAAGCAATATGTTCTCTCTCTCTCTCTCTCCAATTTTTGGTTGAACATAGAAACTGGAGCGGTTACGTTGAAAATACTATAGATCTGTTCTTTATTATAGTTTCGTTTTTATTTATTCTAGTTCATGGATCATGACAACATTTATCATAATTTGAGTAAGAATTGGGGATCATATGTGAAACTTACACAAGTATGTAATTTTGTTTATGTATTCATTTACACTCTGGCTGCAGTCATCACTCAATGGATCAACATCAAATCTTCCTGACAGCACTGGGCGCCCATTAACTTCATCGTTCTCTGGTCAATCTGGGGCTGCCTCTCCTGTTTTTCATCACACTGGTGAGTTGTTTGCTGGAATTATTACATACTATGTTTGCCCCCCACTATTGAAAGCTCATTTGTTCCTAAAACTCAATTTCAACCACACATTTTTCGGGACCCACAACTTTTTATCAACTTTTCGACCACACAATTTCATCAACTTTTATCAAAATTTACTAAAAGAAACTGATTTTTAGCTAAGACCAAACAGGGTTTAAGATTTTCTTCAAAATCTAATATATCATCAGCTTTCTTCTTGCAGGAAATATTCAGGGACTGCATAATATTCATGGGAGTTTTAATGTTCCTAACATGTCAGGCTCACTTGGATCTCGAAATACAATAATGAATAATGTCCCTTCTAGTGGGGTGCAACAAGCTGCAGGCAACCTTTCCAGTGGAAGATTTGCATCAAATAATCTTCCAGGTGCTCTTTCTCAGGTAACCTTATGACTTTTTAATGCTGCATAGGAGATACCTAAGATGCACGGAGACGGACACGTGTGTTCGATACGTGGACACCCTATTTTTAAAAAAAGTACTGACACGACACGTAATCGACACGTTGATGAAATTCTTAATTAAAAGTTCTTCATTTATATAGTATAAATTTAGTTTTATACTTGTTATTGATTTTTATAGATGAAATCTTTTAAAAATAACTACCTATTTGTTACTAGATAATAATTATGAATTAAAAATATATAATATTTCTAATATATAAAATAAAATACACGTTGATTAAATTCTTAAAAATTCTTCATTTATATAGTATAAATTTAGTTTTATACTTGTTATTAATTTTCTTGTTGAAATCTTTTAATCACGAGTAGCTATTTGTTACTTGCTAATAACTTTGAGGTAACAATATATAATATTTCTAATAGAAAAAGAAAAATGATTATGGTAGAGTGTCCGAGAAGAGTCGGTATCGAGTCTTGTCCGTCACGTGTCGGACATGGACACGCTACCCTAATTGAAGTGTTCGTGCTACAGTGGGAGATACCTTAACTCGACGTGAATGTAGAATATTGAAAATATGTATTAGGGGAAACAGTTAAAGCAGTTCACTAATTTTCTTAATATCGTAAAACTAATGGTTTGTTCGCCTAGTTTTTGAATTCTCGGTGACCTATAGTTTTTTTTTACCCATATTCAGAACTCCCTACAATATATTGTTCCTCATTTGCAGATATCTCACAGCAATACACATGGTCATTCAGGGATGGTGAATAGAGCTGGTATGAGTGTCATTGGAAACCAAGGGTATAGTGGTAGCACAAATGGAGTTGGTGGTTCTATCCCTGGGATTCTCACAACCTCTTCTGCAATTGGCAATCGGACTGCTGTTCCAGGTTTAGGCGTTTCTCCGATTATGGGGAATGCTGGCCCACGGATTACAAGCTCAATGGGGAACATGGTAGGTGGGGGCAACATTGGCAGAAGCATTAGTTCTGGTGGAGGATTGTCTGTGCCTGGTCTAGCTTCACGTCTAAATTTAATTGCCAACAGTGGTTCTGGAAATATGAATGTGCAAGGACAAAACAGGCTTGTGGGCAGCATGCTTCAACAAGGTAAATCATCATGAAATAATAAAAGCGTTCTTCAGCCCTCTGACTTTTGGTTTTTCTACAGCATTTGCAAAGTGTTGCTTGGACAGGTTTCTTGGTGATGTTAAACATCTGTTATTTGTCTATAAGGATTTGCACTCCTTAAAAATAATATTTAAACCCTCAATCCTCTCCAAGTGTTTTTCCCCTTAACTTCCGCTTGGAAATAACATAGTATTTGCCATTAAATCAGATGTGATTATATTAACTGTTGGCCAGCAAATAATAAAAAAATCAAATGAATGAACTTCGCTACTGTACAAATGTGCTTTCGATCGTGTTTGAGTAATGAGAATCTGTCAGTTGTGCAAACAACAATTTTTACTTGTGATATTGTTGAAATGGATTTCAATAGTGGATTTAAAAATATCTTTTATTTACATATCGGAGCCTCAATTTTTAATATGAAAAATTGATTAATGTGTTTTGTGATTAAATAATTATCTAAAACTGAACCCGATGTACACCATTCGTGTTTATTATTTTTATTTAGTCAATTGTCATCCAGCCTTATATCTGGTATTGCCATTTGTATATGATGGAAATTCGTAGAGATACTATTTTAATTTCTTTTAATTCATTTGATGTCTTTAGTTGGTTTCTTAATTTAGACTTTGTAAACCCTATATAATGTGGATTTATTCTTTGTTACAATTTGACTTGATTGTTGAATAGTGAATACAAACATATTTCTTTCCCCAATTTCAATATTGGTAAGTCTTCAAATAACGTCTCTATGAATTTCCCTCCACCAGTATGCTTCTGTAAATGGTGTATCCCAATTGATGTTTCACTTGCTCTCTAATCATTTGCTCGCCATATTACTGTACATCTATGGTTTAGTTTGAATCTTGTATTTAGCTGTTCGCTCAAATGTAATTGAAAATATTTGGCCTTAATAAATTGTTCCTGTTGAGCCATAGTTTTTTTTGAGCACCTGTTATTCTGCAAACACCATGTGGCCTGATCTTGTTAAAATCTCTTTCGGTAATGGATTTTAAAAATTTCTTTTATTTGCACAAAGAAGCTGCATTTTTCAAGTTTAAAGTTGACTAGTGGTTTTTGTGATATAACAATCACTTCAATATCTGATTCAAATATTCCACTGTGATTATGATCTGAATTAGACAAGTGTTTTCCAGCCTTGCTCCTGATATTGCCATTTGTTGAACTTGTGTATATAATATATCTGAGATCTCAATTGATATTTCATTCACTTGTAAGCTGTCATTTGGTTGCCATGATTCTACACTTTTTTGTTTAGTGTGAACTTTGTCATTTAGTTGTATATTTATCTGGTAACATTTGGCTTTTTCATGCGCAGTGGAAATTGAATCTTATGAAAACAAGAGAAAAGCTTAACAATCTTTTCGATGTTTGGGGTGGCTTATCTTAAAAGTGTGTGGCTTTTTTTTTACTGTTGACCAACCTACATTTTAGATAGGCCAACATAAGACACATTTGATGCTTATCTTTTAGTAAGCCACCCCAAACATGCTCTTAGTAGTGTAACTTGAATCTGTTGAGTTTAGTTAGTACAAACAAGCTCAGTTTTCGAATAAATACTTTTAAAACAAATGACACTAGAATCCTAGTTAGGTTGCCCTACATCACTTTCATAATGAAGAAGATGTTCCACTGAGCCGCAATATATTTTTTTTATCATTAATGGTGTCTTATGAAGCATGGACACATTGGAGTGTTAAGTGTCCGACATGCCTCCTATCTTTAAATCTGGACAAGGGAGTGATGAGGAGCTGGCACGACAAGTCCACATTGTAGTATTCATACCAAAAAATTAAAAGAGGACACTATTCCAGCAAACTAATGATGTTCTGGTTATGGAAATGGGTGAAATTTGTTCAGAATCTTGAAATGAAGAAATGGGTTATGAAAATGGTAAAGGGGACGCCATAGTTACGGTAAATAGAGATGAGGAAGATGGAGAGATGGGTGGGGAAACATTCTGGAGATGGGATGGAAGGATAAAAATATCATACAGTGGGGTCTATGGACCAATTAACAAAAAACCAAATGAATCATTTCGATAGTTTGTATTGGGCCAACTTTTTAATTGATCTAAGATGGCTCATGGTCCCAATTCTCGCTTAGTTGTTGATTTATAAATATTTAAATTGAGAATTATTTAAAAAGTAAAACAGGAATTTTTTTTTATGTTATTCTAATTAAAATATCCCTAATGTGTTCGTGTCCTTTTTCGAAAAATTACTTGTGTGCCTGTTTGAGTTGTATCTACTGCTTTTTAGGTGCTGGGGTAAGAACTAAGAATGGAGAAAGAATAGGAAAAGTGATTTCATTGCATTCGTTGTCACTGGAAGAAAAAAGGTGGTGTTCATGGCAATCAAGCCACGAATAAGACTTCAAAGTTTTCTACCCTTTGGAGGACAAGATTTGATAATATTATGCTTAAATTTTACGTTGTTGTTTGTTCAGATTTTTATATTGATATTGTTTTCCTAACTAGTATTGATTTGCTATGTAAAAGTGAAGATTTCTTTCATTCTTCGGTGTTATTACAGTTTCGTGGCGTTAAACTTGTATCAGAGGCCAAGATGAATGATTATATGTATGTAGGTTTAAGGAATGAGGTCTAAATTATTGTTCCTGCATTCAGCTTCTCCGCAGGTAATTTCTATGTTAGGCAATTCCTACCCTTCAGCCGGTGGTCCTCTGTCACAAAACCATGTACAAACTGTGAATAACCTTAATAATATGGGGATGTTGAATGATATGAATGCCAATGATGGTTCTCCTTTTGACATCAATGATTTCCCTCAACTGAGCGGTCGTCCCGGTTCTGCTGGAGGTCCTCAAGGACAATTAGGTAATTGAATAGCCTGGTGCTTTTCTTTCCAATAATTCTTCTAAGGTTATATGCCTGGTTTCGGACTGACTATAAAACCCTAGTATTTCAGGTTCATTGCGGAAACAAGGTCTTAGCCCAATCGTTCAACAAAACCAAGAATTCAGTATTCAAAATGAAGATTTTCCGGCCTTACCAGGATTTAAAGGTGCTTGCATGTGTTTGAATCTCAAAGTAATCGTGCTTTATGCTATTTCTAATTTGAATCTCCAAGTATTGCAATCAAAATGAGCAATCACATCAAATTAATTTGTAGTAGTAGTTAGGGGACAAAATGACTATTTGGATGTGCCAATGTAAATCCTGGTATCATTTTGTATAAATAACAGAATGAGCATCTGCTGATAACTTACTCCTGTAAGCAATTGTTCTCCTATAAATGGTCATAATTATGGTTTATTTTCCTTGAGTATTTTTATTCTTATACTGATTGATCTCACATTATTAATCTTATCATAGATGGGTTCTACTAACTTTACTCTTTTTCCCATACTGAACACGGTTTAGATTATTCAAATTGTGCATCCAGAAGAAGACACAACAGCTAGGTATTTGATGCGTCATAACTCATACGTGTTTAAAGCAAGTTGTCAGACACCTGGGATATATGTTTACATGCAATTTTCTGAGCCTGGTACTTCATATCCATTAACAAGAGTCTGTAACATGATCATCAATTAACCCATGTAATAAGCTTCAAGATTTCCGGGAGTTGTGCTTTTATAATGCTAGAAAATCTACCCCAATGATGTTATCAGCGTTTTAAGTTATTTGGCTGGAATAATTAAGAGGATCATGCTACATGTACGGAATCTTTTACCTACTATTCACAATGGGGATGAGGACCACATTGTTGGAATTTTTAAATACACGTGGGCCCCGCACATTATGTGAGAGTGGGTAATCCATTATGTACAAATGGATTAACCCTTAAGAAAATATTGGAGGAAAAGAGTTAGATTCTTTGTCTTTATGGGAGAAGGTTAGATTTTTAGATTCTCTTCGGTAATTTACAGAAGGAATTTAAGGGTTCTCCTTTTATCTGGTAATCCTCAGTTTGAAGGATCTATTGATTGAGTATGCTTGGGAGTGCTTGAAAGGTGTTTAAAAGCACTTGTTTTGGTAGCGTATTAGGTGATGCTGAAAAAAAAAAGGTGGTTTTAATCTCCTTTTAAGCTTTCCCATCATGCTCTTAGTTTGAATATTTTCTCACTAGAGGACCTTATCTTCTCATTCCTTCGTGTTGATCCTAAGTTTTATTTTAATAATTTTTTTCCCTATCAGAACGGAAAAATTGCGCAGATTTTATGGCTGTGATATTAGTTTTAATGTGCATGCTTGTGGTGTTTTCTCATCCTTAATCCTTTATTAAGTCTATTGCTGCTAGTCTGCATTTCAGGTTGTTATCCTTTGTGAAACATCTAATCTTAAGAAGTGTTATGTGATGCCAGTGCAAGACAAGGCACAGGCTTGCTTTCAATAGTTTATTTATTTAATTAGAATCTAAATCATGTTTTGTGTAATTGGGGTCTAATTGGAGACATGTGCTTGATTTTAGTAGTTTATTTATTTAATTAGCGTCTAGTAATTGGGGTCCAATTAAAGGCACAATCTTGGTTTTAATAGTTTATTTATTTAGCCCTTATTTGATTTTGATTCTTTGTTAATCACTTCTCCTCCACACTCATTTTGAACTACACATTTCCAAAAAAATCATTTTCACGTTTTCCAAAGACTTTACTTTTGAACCGCACATTCACAAAATACACTTTTCAAAGAATTATTTTGCAGAAAATCTTTATCAAACAAGCGCTTAATTAGAGTCGAATTCACGTTTTTTGGCAATTGGGGTCTATAAATGTTTCAGTATTAGTTGAGGGACCAAGTGAGTAATTTCAATCAAATTAGCAATAGGGCTTTTGGTTGCTTATTACACCAGCTGCGGGCAATAGAATTTGGTTGGCTTTTGATCTTTGATAAAATACAATAAGTTTGTGATTTGTGAGAGTTTTTCTCCAATTTTTATTGCTTTTCGGTTTTTGTACACAAATCATTTTATGTTGGCAACATGAATTTGATTATTTAAAACAATAATTGTGAAAATTATGTGGTTAGATTCAGTGGTGTTAAGTGATGGGAAACAACTAAAATTCTACTCTAGGCGAAACTGGTAGGAAAGGTGGACTTTTAGTTAATTTAGATTTTATCATTATAACAGAAAAGATTAAGATAGATTTTATGGATAGATAAGATTTTAAAATATTGGATTTTATTTTACTTGATTTAGATAAGTGTTTTATTTTATTAGAAATTCTCTTGGAGTTTAATACTATATATAAAAGCCGGGTAGGTTTTTCATTTTGAGCACAACTATATTATTTTTGAATCGAAGTTATATATTTTCCTCTTCTCACTTCTTCTTTTTCCCTCAATTTCCTTTTCTTGTTACTATGTAATTAATTGTATTTATTTTATTTCATTTTCCAAAGTAGTGGAGTTTAGTGGGAGGTGTGGAATATTTATAATGCACATTTGCAGCCTTCTGTTAGGTTCCTTTGGGCTCAATCGAACTTTTTGCGTTTCTTTTTCCTTTGACTCATTGATACTAGTCAGCCTTTAAGCAACTCTCTTTGACAATGTAAATATATTTTTGAATTCACGTTTTACTTAGTTTCAGTTTAACTCTTGCCATTGACAATCTATTAGACTTTGTGCAGGTGGAAATACTGACTATTCTATGGAGTTACACCAAAAGGAGCAACTTCACGACAGTTCTGTTTCCATGATGCAGTCTCAACACTTTCCTGTAAGTGATACTGATACTTTATGAGAGTTTGGAGCATTTATAGAGTTTCTCTTGTTGGGTTTGAATTTGACGGTTTTCTTTCCATTTTCATTTTCTGATTGAATTTACAGATGGGAAGGTCTACTGGTTTCAATTTGGGGGGAGCATACTCATCTCATCGGCCACAACAGCAACAACAACATGCCCCATCAGTGAGTAGCAGCATTGTCCCTTTTTCGACTGTAAACAATCAGGATCTACTCCATTTACATGGTTCAGACATGTTTCCATCATCTCATTCAACATATCATGCACAGGTGTGCTAACATGTTTTGTGGAATTATGGAATTATTTCTAGTAGTGTTTTATTATTTATTTTAAACAAAGTATGTAAATCAGGAAATCACAAATAACTATTCAGTATCAACTTTTTGTTTTTTGCCTGAACGCTTCTACTCTCTCTCTGCCTTGGCCTTGTTTCCTCTTACTGAGAAGTAATGGGAAATATTTATCTGAACAATGCCATATCCTTTGTCTGCTTTGGAATGTCGGCCACCTTAGCTTGTCTGACTAATACCTTAAGAGGTTTAACTGCTAATCTTGAATGTCAAGTTTTTAAGTATTAGTCCATCATTTTTGCAGCATTTGAACCCAATTTTAGTGTAAAGCACATGTATTGTGCTTATCTTTAATATTGAATTCTATAATGGTTGTAATAGTCAACACCCTATTATAAACGATCACGGCAGAGAATTTTATTTTTTCTAATCGTTAGAGGTATTAATTATAAATGCCATAGTCTATTGATTGGTTACATCCCCATGCAGTACAAAATGACATGTATGATCAATTAAAAGTATATCATAATGTTATTTGCAATTAAATACATACTTTACTTTGAGCAATGTTCTTGTCATTGTAATTTATTTAGGAACATGTGTTTGATCATGCTTATCTTTGGCCATCACCAGTTGACACCTCTTCGACTTAATGAACTCCTAATGTCCTTTTGAACTGGAGTTGTCTCTGCTATCCTTGGAAATTTTTGAAGTGAACAAGAAAATTTTACTTTTCGTGGGTATCTTCGTCTAACAGAGAAAAAAAAGTGTGCTTGATGCGACCAACTGCTGTTTTATTGTAACCATAGTTAACAACCAAGCAATCTTCATCACAATGTTCTATTAGCAATTTCTACAGCTATGGAAAATCATCAAATACGTTGTCGGGTGACATGAAAAGATGCGTACATATGTGTGTGAATAATGCCTCCTATATTGATACCTTTCAAGAATTATTTGAGTGTAAAAAATAGGTTGTCATTACTGTTAATATAAAAGTGATGATTATAAGAGGGTCTACTATAGTTTATACGTAAATGTGAATGATGGCTTACGTAAGATACTCGGTGGAAATTTCCTCCTGGTGACACATGTAAACTTATAGGGTGTTGGTTTGTGTGTAAGCTCTCTCCTATAATTAATTATATGCAAGAAATATTTCCGTATAAAAAATTCTCCATTTTCAAAACGTTTTCGTTATTGAGGCCTGAGAAATATCCACTATGGGAACCTGGAACTGACTTCCCATAAATTGTAGTAGTTTTTTGAGATTAATGATGTATAAATAATAATTATACAAGGGTCTATTGTAGCTTGTAGATGTGAATGTGAATAATGCCTTACACGAGTTACATGGTGAAAAAGTTGTCTCATGACCCTGGTTTTCTGTCCCTGTTGTAATTGCTTAATAATTTCTCTCTTTTTTTTACCCAATATTTATTTGATCAGACCAGTGGACCCCCAGGCATGGGACTACGACCTCTGAATTCTCCGAATTCGGTTTCTGGCATCGGGTCATACGACCAGCTTATACAGCAATATCAGCAGCATCAGAACCAGTCTCAATTTCGCCTACAGCAAATGTCTGCTGTAGGTCAACCATATAGGGATCAAGCAATGAAGCCCATGCAGGGTGGGCAAACCACTTCTGACCCTTTTGGTTTGCTTGGTTTGTTGAGTGTGATAAGAATGAGTGACCCTGATCTGACTTCTCTTGCACTTGGAATTGACCTCACTACCCTTGGATTGAATTTGAATTCTTCTGAAAATCTTCACAAAACATTTGGTTCCCCATGGTCTGACGAACCTACCAAGGGAGATCCAGAATTTACCGTGCCACAATGTTATTATGCTAAACAACCGCCACCTCTAAATGTGAGCTGTCTTTCTACCCTCATCTTTACTATGCTTTTATGCCATTTTATTCTTGCTGAATTTTCTTGAATTGGCTGCAGCAAGCTTACTTCTCAAAGTTTCAATTAGAGACTTTGTTTTATATCTTCTACAGGTACATCTTTAGATCGCACTCCATTAACATTGCGCCTGTTCTTTCACTGTGAATATGAAATTTATATTTTCCTTTGTGGTTTCATGCAGTATGCCTAAGGATGAAGCACAATTATATGCTGCCAATGAATTGTATGCCATTTCAGCCATGAATACCCGTTTCATTTCTAGTTTACTAGTTTATTCTCTGTAATTCAGAATCAATCCATGGAAAGATTCACGTCTTTTACTATGAAATCTTTCTATACTGCTCCCTGGTTATATTCCACTCCTCTGGTGATGCTAATTTTGCTGCATGTAATAGTAGTTTGACCTAACTGTCCCAATTGCTTTCAGGTATAACAGAGGTTGGTTCTACCATAGAGATCATTGTTTGTGGTTTATGAGGAATGCTAACATGGAGCCACTTGTAAAGATGAATGCATATGAGAGAGGATCTTATATTTGTTTTGATCCAAACGCATGGGAGACAGTCCGCAAGGTTTGAAATTTCTTTGCCTTCGTCAATTTGCCTGCTTGTTTATTGAATGTAACCCTGAGGATTGTTCATTTCCTTTCTCATTCCAACATTGTTTGGTTCAACTTAATGCAGGATAATTTTGTTCTCCACTATGATATGGTGGAAAAGAGACCAGCTATACCTCAACATTGACGACATGTGCTGTTTAAATGTACACCTACAGGTTCAACTGATTTGTTAGGACAGAAGTAAGCTCGTGCTTAGTCTATCTTCTTTTTGGCAACTGTAAGCAATTATTGCATGATTATCGTCTCTGTTATTTCAATCCAACTTCTGTATCTTTTGCTCAGAATTTTATATTCCAAGTCCAATGATCATGTTCTATGCCATTCTTGTCATTTCTAGTCTCATGTTCTAACTAGTCAGTTTCTCTATGCATCAATTTGGATTTGAAGGGTGGAAAATTTATCCTGTCAACTTTAATATATTGTTTGTTACCCAACAAGTAAAGTTATTAATATGAAGGAAAGATTAGCATGGGATGCACACCGTATAACTGGGCTTCGACCATTCAATGCTATTAGAATGTAGAGCAGTTGGTTTTAAAAGAATTGTTCATGTTGAAGCCTTGTGAATGCACATCTCATGAGTTTCTGGCTTTCTTCTAGAACTTTTTTCTCATGCAGTTGCAGGGGTGTAACTGAGAGCATTTGATGAAATTGTAGGACATGTATAATAGATACTCGTAAAATTCTGGACATTCGAGTTGTTTGTGTTTCATTGTAATACCAAACAGATCATCATTAATGTTATCGCTTTAGTTCCTTGATGTCATCTTTGGTATGTTGGACTCGAGATATTGTTGAAGAAGAATGAGCTAAAATTTTGTGAGTTGTGATTTCCAATATTGTCCATTACTATGTACCATACATCCCATACATTGTAATTTTTTATCACATACCTCCCTTGATACTGTAAAGCACAATTTAGTCTGACTCAAGAAAATTTCTGGAATGATGCTGTTTGGACGAGTTTCTGAGAGGTGGAGTTTGAAACTTTTGAAAATATCGTATGAAGTTATATGTTACAGGGGTAAATTTTTGGGAGCTACTATGGTTGCCAGTTGCCAAAGTTGCTTTTGATAGATTATATGATTTTAACATGTTTGAATTGTTGAATTTGCTGATTCCTGTTCACATCGTTTCATTTTTACCAGCTATGAAGCTGTATATGAAGGCCATCTGCAGATCTGATAATCGTGTGATGAATTCAATAGTTTAGAAATTTTTATTTCAGTGAACTCAAAACTTTTATGGAAATGTAGCGTTCTTGTAGGATGAGAACATGTCCTTTTCAGTTCAACATTCTCTTTTAAAGTTTTTCTAGTATTTATATGCTCTCTGCCAGTTTCTAGTAGATTTTTTCTCTGTATTAACCTAGATCTGTATATTAGGTTGTTTGATACGTCGTATTAGTTTGATTTATACTTGTACAGAGAATGTATCGCCGTTACATGAATGACGACATGTGTAGATCTCTGCGAAACATGTTTTGCCAGGTTGTTATTCCCTCAGCCTCTCAATCGGGGTTTGCTTTTAATGCCTGTTACTAGTCGATTAGACCGCAGTTGTCATACTTTGAGACTTGCGAACAAGTCCTATATTTCAAGTAATTACGTCGTCTTAATGCCAAATGATTCTCATTGTTCGCTATGAAAGTGCAAATTGCAAGTGCGTGAGTCGCGTTTAAGTAATATGGTGGACTTTTTGAGTTCGAGTTGTAGATCTCTTGATGAATTTTTAATTTCAATTACACAACTTTAATCAATTTAATTCTAACAATAAAAAGAAAAAAAAATTAAAATTATGATTTTGAGAATTAGAACTATACAAAAATAATAAAACATAAAAATCTTGAAAATTCTCAACGAAAACATGGCTGGAATTCATGGTTTCTTTCAATCGTCGTCTAATTAATTTCTTCATAAGTTAATTAATAAATTACTCATTTATGATGTTAGATTTGATTTTTTAATTTTAGTTAATTGCTTCTCTCGAGCGAAATTAACCTTAAATGATTGGTTAACTTACTATATTTCCTTGTCAATTAAAATCAAATAATAGCATTAAATCTTTGTGAAAATAGCTCAATTGGTCACTTAGGGCTATAAGTACATATCTCTATTCCCTACACAAATTTAGGATTTTTACTATTTAGTTTAAAATGCATAATCTTTTTTTGAACGATGTACAAATTACTAAACATAATCATTCATTGGCCACATAAATAAAAATGCAATAAATACAATAGTAGATACACATGGAAATAAGCATTTCTAACATTAAAAGATAAATACTAAAATTAATTAAAATTAGGCTCATTTCAACTATAAATTCCAACAAAAATACTTAGTTTGTGTTATATAAAAGATAAAAATGAGAATATTTATAACAATATATTAGAAGCATGGCAAGATAATCGAGAAAATATAAAGTTATAGATCAAATCTTTTTTTAAAAGCTTGGCCGGACTATCAGAGGATATTTACTTTATTTAGTTTCCATTTATAATTTGCATCTACTCCGGGATTTCTTTGATTGTATAACATCAAATCTTTCCTTGTATATCGTTGTAATATTCTCTAAATTAAAGGCAATACACACGAGAAGATGGTTCAGCAAAATCGATTTTGTCATGGTATTAGAGCCCTAACCTTTTTTTTCTCTCGGGCGATTGCGGCGTGGACTGTTTCTGTGTTTGTGGAATCAATTACTTCTTGATTCATCATAGGAATGATCGGGTGGTCGCTTCTTGAGTGTTTAGCTGTCGATTGATGATTCCTAGTCGTTGTCACCTGGTTTTCTGGCAGTCGAGTTTTTTTTTCCAGGGTTGAGTTCCGTCGGTCCACTTCTCAGAATTGTGGTAGCGCCTCTAAGTGTTCTTCATTTCTGTGCATCCTTCGTTCCAGTGTGTTCTTCGATTTTTTTCGGCACACTTGTGGGTTTTGGTCGGAGGAGAACTTTGTTACTGTCGTTCCTCGTCTTTGCATCGTCAGTGAATGTTTTTGGTATCAGAGCTTTACGGGAAAGAACTACACTTCATGGTCATTTCATTTTCAATTATTAGTTGAAGGAAAATGTGATCTATGGGGACATATTGATGGGAGTATTCCTTATCCGGATCCAGAAAAGGAAAGAGAAAAATACCTTGCTTGGAAAACAAATGATTCTCGGCTTATGTCTTGGATCATCGGATCTGTTGACACTCAAATTGTTCTCAATCTCCGACCCTATAAGTCATCCCGTGCTATGTGGGAGTATTTAAAGAAAGTTTATACTCAAAGCAACAATGCTCGGTCTATTGAAGAATATTATTCTGGTTTTCTAACATTTGGGCTGAGTACACATATATTATCTATCCTTTTGTCTCCTCTGATAATTTGGAGGCTGTTCAAGCTATGCATGAAGTCACCAAGAGAGATCAATTCCTCAAGAAACTGCGAAGTGATTTTGAACCCATTTGTTCCTGCATTATGAATCGCGAGTCTATTCCTACACTAGATAGTTGTTTGGGTGAATTACTGAGGGAGGAACAACTTCTTATCACTCGTAACTCTTTGGAACAACATCAAAATTCCGTAGCACCGGTTCCTGTTGCATATATCGCTCACCGATTCCTGTTCTAGTGTGCAATGTTATAGTTGTAAGGGCTTTGGTCACATGGCTCTTCAGTGTCCACGGAAGGTTTGCAATTATTGCAAGAAACCAGGCCATGTCATTAAAGAGTGTCCTACTTGTCCTCTACGCAAGATTAGACCAAGTGATGTTACTGCTGCCACTTTAGCCTCTGGTTCTGCTCTGCCATCTGCTCCCACTCATGCTCCGGCCTTTCCTAGTTCCTCTCAATCTCCCATTATTCCTGACATGGTTCAATAAATGGTTGTTTCTGCATTGTCTGCCTTAGGTATCTCGGGTAATTCACAACCTGCTCGTTCTTCTTGGTTATTAGATTCCGGTGCTTCTAACCATATGACTCGTGATTCTAAATTGTTTAGTAACCTTAGACCATATAATGGACCTCTCAAAATACATACTGCTGATGGTAACACACTTCCTATCTCAGTTGTTGGCGATCTCTCACCAGATTTGCCAAATATTTTAGTCTCTCCAAATTTATCCACTAATCTTCTATCTATTGGCCAACTTGTTGATAACAATTGCACTGTATCTTTTTCTACTTCTTGTTGTCATGTGCAGGATCAGGTGTCCGGTAGGACGATTATGAGAAATTGGGACATCCCAATTCTAATGTGTTGCAACATTTGTTAAATTCTGGTTTACTTGGTAATAAAAATTATGCTTTGGTTTCATCTGTCTCACTTAATTGTGCTTCATGTAAACTTGCTAAAAATAAAGTTTAGCCATTCCCATCTTAAGGTTCTTATACTTTGCATATTTTCGATATTGTTCAAGGTAATGTATGGGGTATTGCACCTGTGGTGTCTCATGCTCATTATAAATACTTTGTTATGTTTATCGATGATTTTAGTCGATTCACATGGGTTTATTTTCTTCGAGCAAAAAGTGAGGTATTTTCTGTCTTTCAAGCTTTCCTTGCTCTTATTGACAATTAATTTTCCCCCTCAATCAAAATCTTAAGATCTGATTCTGGAGGTGAATATATGTCAAATGCATTTCAATCTTTTTTACAATCCAAAGGTATTATCTCTCAGCGATATCGTTCTTCTACTCCTCAACAAAACGGGGTAGTAGAACGGAAAAAATCGTTATCTTCTTGATATGGTTCGAGCTCTTCTGATTGATTCTTCCGTTTCATCTCGTTTTTGGTGTGAAGCATTATCTACCGCTGTGCATCTCATCAATAGGTTACCTTCTCCCACCCTTGAAAATGTTTCTCCATTTTATAAACTCTTTGGTCATCATCTCACATATTCCCATCTGCACCCTTTTGGCTGTGTGTTTTGTTCATTTACAATTTCATGAAAGGACTAAACTCACTCCTCAACCTGTCAAGTGTGCATTTTTAGGATATAGTGGTATCCAAAAAGGGTATATTTGTTATGATCCTACAACACAACGCATCCGTATTTCTCGAAATGTAGTTTTCTTTGAAAAATAGTTATTCTTCAATTCCGAGGTTGTGGTTTCTCCCATGTTCTCTGTTTTACCTGATTTTACCTACCGAATTCTGGCGGTACAAGCTAGGGTATGTTTACACTCGTCGGGAGGTTGTACCAGCCACTGGTCTCGGGCTTCTTTCTCAAACGACTACTCTCCCGAGCCTCCCTGATCCTCCATTAACGACATCAAATCCTTCACTGGATGATCTACCACTTCCTCTTCGTCGTACTTCTCGTGTGCCTTGACCACTAGATAGGTATTGTTTTTCCTCCCATAGTTCTATGTTTGCTACACTTGCTTCGGTTTCCATTCCTTCCTCCTACAAACAGGCTATGGAGCAAGAGTGTTGGCGTCAGGCGATGAAAGCAGAACTTGAGGCACTTGAGGCCAACCAAACTTGGGATATTGTGTCCTGTCCGCCGACTGTGAGACCCATTGGGAGTAAGTAGGTATACTCTGTCAAACTACGTTCTGATGGTTCTCTTGAGAATTATAATGCTCGTTTGGTTGCTTTAGGTAACTGCCAAGAATATGGAATAGACTATGATGAGACTTTTGCTCTGGTTGCTATCCAGTCTTGGTCTTTACATCAAATGGGGATGTGAAGAATAGGGAGATCTTAAGGAAGATATTTATATGAAACTTCCATCTGGTATGCCTCTTCCCTCAGCAGATTCTGTTGTAAACTAAAACGCTCTTTGTATGGTCTTAAGCAGGCTCCTCGAGCATGGTTTGACAAGTTCGCCGCACCTTTTTGGATTTTTCCTTTACTCAGAGTCAGTATGATGCATCACTATTTCTTCACAGGAGTAAAGATGTAATCGTTTGTTTGTTAGTATATGT